TATATATATATACATATGTGTGTGTGTGTGTGTGTGTGTGTGTGTGTGTAATAATTGTATAAATAATAATTGTATAATTATCGTGATATGTGATTCATATTACATACATGTTTCCGTTTGCCAATGTAACGTATCGCTGATTACCGTAGCAGAGAAGGTTTTCGCTTACTCATCGTTTGCACATATGTGTGTATTTAGATGGGATCGAACGTCATTTTGGTGGGATCAATCGTCATCCCGAAGGGATTAAGCGCTAACTCTGTAAGCCCACGCTTCCACGTTGGATTAAATTTGCACGTTAGGCAAATATGAGGCAATTATTATGAAATAAATTGCTATCGTCTCGGACGTGAAAGAGAGAACACAATAAATACGTTTCAAATAAATTTTTAATAAATAAGCATTAAACATGACATATTTACACGAAAATTATGTTTGTCCCATATCTCGCGTGTAAATTGGTAAATTTTTATTACGGAAGAATGAATAGTTTATTTCTCTCTCTCTCTCTCGTTTATTATTATATAATTATTTTTTATAAAGAATAGAATGAATATCGTACAATCAATATCAAATAGAATCAATATCATACATTAATATCAAGAATGTGAGATTTTAAAGGTCTCTTTGAATTCGTAATAATTAGACTTCAAATTAAAATTCTGTTTTTATTCGAGAAATTAAATGATAAATGAACTATAAAAGGTAAAAAGATAAAGATATTACTTTATTCCGCTAAAATGTAATTTAGGCAAAATTTTTTTTCTGGCTTATGATTGAACTATTAATGTCGCGATATTTTTTAAGAGAAAAAATTTTCAAGATAAAAATAAGTTCGATATCTTGTACATTTCATGCTCTTGCTGTCATAAGCAGACATTTTGAAGTGTTTCACTTCCCTTCGGGAAAGGAAAATGCGCATAATTTTCACGAAAAAACCGGTAGCGATATCAAGCCGACTTTGCGAAGTCCCCGAAATTGCGAGATTCTATCTTGACAAGAATGTATCTCGCGTCGGCAATAGAGAAACGGTTTAAGTCGCACCTCCGTTTTCTCGGCGAGGGTCTTGAACGAGGAAGAGACAAGAAGAATAAGAAGCCGGAGGATACTCTTAACGGAACAGTAAATTGCTTGGAAACTGCTGTACTATTTACGAACGGCGTTTCTTCCTATATGGACCACTGCGCGGTCGATTTCGAAGCTCGATGTTACACAAGATCGAAATCGTAAATTTCAAGAAATTGAAAGACTTATACACGACATGATCTCAGAACACAAGAAATATTTTCACTGCGGCGGGCATGGTAGGTGTATGCTGGATATAGCTTTTCCCCGAAAGTCTCTCTAGATAGATCTAGAGCAACTAGATATCCTAATTCTAATCTGAAATTCCTCGGTGGAATCAGAAAACTGTTTTGCCTTACGCAAATCAACTCAATCAGAATTCGTGATCCGATTAGCGACTTATACGTTTGGCACTCCCCTGGAAGCCCAGATTTAGCAGACAATTAGAATTTTTCACGTAAGCGCCGGAAAGTTAATCCCTTTTTCCTCTTTGTGAAAGAGTTGCGAAATTTGTACGTCAGCAAGTTACACGATTTACATTACATAGCGCTAATAATAGACATTTTTCTCATTATTGATGCGACATTAATTAATTCCCCCATGGTCTTTCATCCAATTTGCAGTGATCAATGTCGCATAATATCGGACGCTAACGTTATCCGCATATTGTTCGGTGAAAATTAACCAGTTCGTTCATGATATCAGATCTGGTTAATTCCCCTCCCCTCCCTGCCCCCCTCGCTTCCGTCTCTCTTGTTATAGCTCGAAATATATTGTGTATATTGTAATCATTTATAGTAAATTTAATATTCATGATATTTTCATGACTTTGATATTTTATGCGTAATGCTGTCAGAATGTAATTAATGCATCTCTTTCAACAAAAATATCAATTAAACGAACAAAAGGCATACCTATGTATCTATATAAAGATTGTTTGTATAAAAAATTTTTAGATAACACGTTATTCTTTATTTAACCAAACTTACGACACAGATAATTATGTATGGGATGTCATACCTATCTTTTCTTTATATTCTACCGGAAGTTATTAACTAATTTCAATTTTTACGAAGAAATTCACTACTTGATACGTGTCGTATCTCTTTTCAATTTCGATGCAACATCAGCGAGAACGTCTTCTTACCGAGAGAGAGATGTCGAACATGCTTGTGTCACAACGTTTATTTAGCGAAGTGCACCTTCTCTTTAGTGCTCACCTCTCCCTGGAGCCCTCTTTATCCTTGCTTGCCAGTAGCACCATCGTATCTGATATAGTCGTATCCACTTTTACCTTATAAAAGTATATACCGGGTCGATATCGTCCGGCGTCGATGGAACATCGTTGTCCTGCGATAGCCATTTCAGTTTCCATCGGGATGTCCCGAAGCGGAGTCGCTGTCGTGCTTTGACTCTCGTCAGATAATACCACTCAAAAACGGTACGCGTGGGCGGTACACAGTACTCCGGGAAAAGGGAAGAGTGTGAAGTTTATAGTCAGCTCATTGTAATACCACGTCAATATTATCGCATGCTGTATTAATTTACATAGCACGTTTACACAGGAGCTAATTTCAAGTAGACTTTAATAGAATATTAATCTGAAGCTCTCTCTCATTTAAATACTTATTGGCACGTGTGTATGAAAACGTTTTCACACACAGACGCGTTCATTTAATTAAATTACATATTTGAAAATATACATTTGAGAAATAATACGGATGAGAGAAGATAATATAAATTAATGTCCGATGTATAGAAATATCTGTAATTATATCGATGTTACGACATTGCCGTTAATTTAATTGTAAGTTAATCTTCTCCGAGTTAATCTGTTCTATATAACGCGGATTTTTGGTAAATATTTTATATTCCTTCGTATTTAAAACGATTGCCACTCGTTTCTGATTTTCTTTCGTTAATATCCATAATTTCAGTCGACTTCCTCAAGTGCTTTCGCTTAAGTGACGGCTAGTAATTCCGCGCAGGTTCTTGCAGAGAGCGTGTCCAATAGAAAGGGAAAATAAAACTTTATTTCTCTCACTTGTAAGTCTTGATAGCTAGATTTCTTCCTTCAGAACAAGATGTACTTATGGAAAAATCTATACATGAATACAATGGAATCGTTTTTACTGAACGTGCATGGAGTTTAACTTACACAATCCTTATGAGAATTTATATTGAAATTTCTGTATTTACAGGCTTGCGGAATAAATGTCTCGCACCGGAAGTCAAGTTAATTTACATTAAGAATTTGTATTAAATAACGTTAAACAATTTCAGCGCGTGAGTGTCTGGCATCGCGATATTTTATAATTTAATTCCGACAAACTTTATTTCCATGAGCAATTTCCGGTGTTTTGTTGCGCCTGCGGAAACGCGATATCTCACAATCTAATTCTGACAAGCTTTATTTCCGTGAATAATTTCCAGCATTTCGGTATACTTGCAGGAAATGCGAGAGCAGTCAAGTTTTCGTCAAGGACCACCACACACACTGTATAGATACTTGCCGTCCTGTTACTATGTGCGGTGAAGTACGCGTCCCGGAGGACCATCTTGACGTAAGTAATTACCCGATAAGTTCTCTAAGCCGAGTTAAACCGTGCAATAAATATCGGAGCCAGTCAAAGGAGTAGATCGAGCATTGGTATTTTGGGCATTAGGGAATCATGTGAAATTGACAACTTATTTACCTGTTTATAAACTATATGAAATGGTAAAAAATTCGTGATAATATTTTAACAAAAATTTCATTTTGTAAATTAATTTTAAATAATTATTTTAATATCGAATTTGATATTTTATATTAAAAATTATAGAAAAAACAATATCCATTTAAATTTTTATTAAAGATCGAAAATCGATAAAGGATATGTTTTATGGGATATTTTGCACTTTATGCTCTCTGCTATTACGTATTGTGCGTAACCATTGAATTTAGAAAAATATTCTACCTATTTGAATTATTATATGTCAGAATTTATTTCGTTTGTATTAAATGATAAACGAGCAGTAATAATTTAATTAAAGGCTAAATTCAATAAAAAATATCAAAATTAGATTAATATAATTAATGTAAAATTTGGCATATTAAAGAATTTATTATTTTATTATTATTTCATTGTTGAATAAATACAGTGTGTTCAACATTAGACACTTTCTCAATCCGATATTTTTAATATTATTAAAATTCAAAAATTATTAATTGTCTCCGGGATGTAACTTCGATTTACTAAATATTGAGAATTATAGAATTTATTTTTAAAAAATTAAAAGACTTAAAATTTTATCAGAATTTTATGACGGTACTACAACGTATATAATTTATGTTAGTAATTATAATTACTGTGACATTTAATATGTTCGTTTAATTATTCGCAGATATTAATGGCAAGCTTGTAATATATGAAATAAAATTTAGTGGAGAGAAACTTTGTTCTTTTCGTAAGAAATAACAGATTACAGTCGCGACAAGATCTCTCCATTTCCACGTAGATCATGTATGTTCGAAATAAGAGGTACAATATTTCATTGACGCTTCATCTTGATCGATTACCGTGACTCGTACTGAGGGGATGTGCTTTAACGACAGCAGCTTGGAAACGAGAGGCGCTAATTGATGAGTGGCCCTGAGAGAGGCGAATTGGTGTCGGATAACTTATTAGGGCGAGGGCGTCATCACCCTTGTTGACGGTATTCGCTGACGGCGTAAAATTATTTACCTCCTCGCCGAAGGTGTCTTGACGGTAATGCGATTCCGCTCCGGTTCGTCAGCGTTAATGTTTCCGGATACTTCGTCGCTTACAGGCTGCAATCTTCTTTGCAGTATTTTGCGTGTCTGACACTTATTACGATGAGCAATGTAATTTCATTTTATGCCGGTGTAAAATCCTTCGACGTCAAAAGATACGCGAATACCTTTTTTCACTTTTGACTGATAATTATTTCGAAATCGAAAATTGCTTGATCTCTTTAAAATTACAACAGTGCTTTTTGTAATTACTATATATCTTCATTCTTGCACGTTCATACAGGTTTGCAGAACGTGTAACGCGACGGGACATAATTGCGGAATAGCTGAAGGGAGTAAAGCTGGTCCGGGAATCGACGGTGCCGATTTTGTCTTTTATGTATCCGCTATGCAGACTGAAAGATGTCACAAGGGCTTAACAGTAGCCTACGCTGCTCATTGTCAACAGGAAGCAGCTTTGGATCGGTAAGTTCAAATTTAATTAGTCGATAAAAGCAACACTTAACAACTTTATAAGCTGTATAATAAATTTAATTGGTACTATACCTAATATTCTTAATAAGTTTTACATATTATTGCGTCATTAATATAGTCATTAATAGTGAAGTAAAAAATACAAACAGATTTTCGCAGAATTATAGGTTTATTTGTGTAAATTGAGAAATATATTCTTCATCATTATTTAGTAATTTAGTTTTCGCGATATTTTGATATGTGAGAACGTCATTAATAATACATTAATACATTGAATAAGTGTGCGTCATGATTGAAACATGCGCAAATTTAGCTATTTGTATGAACGGAGTAGAGATGAAGGCAAACACCATCTGGCATGAATATATTTCATGAGAATGTCGGATTAAATATTTGACAAGATTTATAAGAGAGATTGTTTGTACGAAGCGAGCGATTTAACAATAGCGAACTCTCATATTAATGATTTTAATTAAAACCGATATATTTTATTTTATGCGACGAATCGTTATGCCTTATAAGTTAATGGAACAAAATGAGCAGAATCAATTCTAATATATTTATTTTGTTGCTTGTATGTTGCTAAAAAGTTGATTATTTTTAGACTGTGTGAAAACAAGTCGTTTGCAATCGAGAAAATACCTTATAGGGCTGAATTTATAATCGCGGAAATTTGCAAAAGCAAAACTCTCTGATTTGACGTCTAATTTTATGACTCCGCCGAAACGTGAACGCATATTGAGTAGATTAAATTTTTCTGTCAAGTACATACGTCGCGCACGTCCTACCACGGTCGATGTAAATGGCGTTGCGCGAAGTTTATTATTCGCACGACGTCTGATCGTGATAAATCGACGATATTCGTGCGTCGCCGTCGCCGCGTTGCCGCTTGCTTATGGAAAAATCTTTGAAATATTCGGGTATGAAAAAAAAACATTTTACTGTGTAACATATGTTACACAGCTTTTAATATCGATCTAGATATTCTTCGCAAAAATTATGCTTGGTACGCAAATTTATTTTCTCACTAGTTATGTATTTACCTGGCAAACGTCTTAAAAGTCGTGTATTTTCCAAGGAATCCAAGGAAATAATAATAGAAGGACTAATACAATTTCGAGACACTATAATTAAAATAAAGACGAAGGGAGATTTCGCGGTTGCTGAAGCGAACTAAATTACTTCCAGACCGATAGCTGGCCATGCCAACCTATGCCCGGGAAGCATCAGCACGAAACCACAGGAGTTGGAAACGTTGCTCAGCACCGTTAAACACGAGATCCTGCACGCTTTAGGATTTTCCGTGAGCTTATACGCTTTCTACAGAGACGAGAATGGCGAGCCAAGGACGCCTAGAAGAAGCGATACCGGGAAACCACCCCTTAATGAAAAGTACGTTTGCCTTTTGTACGTCTTACGTTAATTTTAAGATTCCTTTATTATCGCGCATGAAAGACGCGCACATTATATTAGCTCGTTCATTGAGTATGAAATTAAATTATTTCCACGATGAATAGTTTCGCGAATGCGGGGGTATACTTTAAATTTGCATGCAAATACGATGAACGTAGTTAAGGAGTGTCTTATACTCTCGTTAGAATATAAAATGTCACACACCAGCTACGATTATCTCAACATAAATTTCTACCAATGGACGGAGCATAAAGTTAACGGCTTCTCGAGAATAGAAACTAGAATGTTGCACTGACAGCATTTGAGCATGGATAAGAAATAATATTGTTATTGACCAAACGCTTGTAATATTTCACAAAACAATTTTTATATTCATCGATTTTCAATTTGATTATAGAATGTAACGAATTTGTCTTTTTGATAAGATAATATTATATTCTAATTTTTAAAGATAAAGTGAATTTCTCATCTTCAATTTTACTGAAATTGTTACATTGCTATAACGAGAAAGCGAGGAAAAAAGGTTTGCTTTGCTTCGCCATCTCATCACTCGACTACGATATGTTAGCGATTCTTCTCCTTTCTGCTCCTACGATTGTCTGACGGTGTATCTGCCTTTAAAATTGGAAAATTCCTGGTATCCCGTTCTATACGAGTCGACGGACCGTAACGAACTGGCTTCCAGCGTTGGCAGATGCGAGCTCTTCCCCATACGATCTTTCTTCACGTACCCTTCTGTCTGTTTCCCCGTCCTCCATCCGTTACTTTTCTCGCTGTGCTCTCGTACTTACTTCTCATGTGCTCTCCCAGACTCTCCTTCTCAATTCGCTATCTCGCTCGTGGGTCTGTCCGCCAAGTGGCGAAAATCGACGCCTTTCCACCCCGGAATCGCGAAATTCCAGCAACAGATCCACAGCGTTCCGGACCGGATAATAGATTTTAGAAATGACTTCGGCGTTCTTCACAAGTCTCTTCCTAACGCTCGCTCCGGCGTATAATTTTCCAGTATGTTCTCTCCAAGTGTGTCTGGTTTCTTCAGTTGATCTCATGAATTATCGCGTTGATTTGCGTTTCGAATGTTGGCGCAGATAGAACTCCCTTTCTCTCTCTCTCTTTTCTCCTAATATAGAGTGGGACATCGCTCATCGCATTGCATAGCATTATAAGAATTATGAAGTCACTTGGTAATGTATGCAGAACTTCTTAAACTCTCAGGAACTTTCTGCCAGAGAGTTCTATGATTCTTTCCCGACGACGTCCCAATACTTAAATTGAGGGACAGAGATTTTTGTCGGAAATAGCTACTCGTTTCCTGTTCGTTCTTCGTCCTTTTTAATTTTCTTGTCTCCTGTTCTATCTCCCCTTCATTACATCAGTCCATTTTACCCTCCGTCGTTTTTCGCTACTTTTCTAGCCGTTCTTTCCGTCCATTTTCGCTCCGTATCACAGACTGTGCAGTCTCCGTTACAAATTCTAGCATTTCTCTGCATCTCCTGTTATCTATCTGCTCGTAAGTTTGCACGTTCTCAGCCTACCGCACGTGAATACCTCCACGGAGATCCTCTTACATTTAAGGTTTACATTAATCTACAGTAACGTGTATATAGAGGGGCAGAGGAGAGAGAGAAGATCTTTGTAATGTTAGATTTCGACAGAATATAGACCTTATAACACGACACGGCGATATAATGTCAGATGATTATTTGTAAAACACTAGAGGTACATTTGTCTTTATGTACAGAATAAATCAAATTTATTATTATTAAATTGTTAATTGCGAGCTAACAATTATTGTCGTTTAACGTGCAGTATTCCTGTTTAGCACAATTTGTTTTTATTCATAATTGACATTGAGCTTTTAATGCTAATTAATTACACAATGGTTTTTATCCGTTTTCCAATGAACTATTTTATGTAAATGCAAATTACTGGCATTATTGAAGCATTTGATAATAGCGACATCACTACTACTTTAAATTATAATAAACATAACAATAATTGACAGTATAATGTACGAATCGTCAATACTTTTAGCTCGTGCGATTTATTTAATTTTTATATCGTACGATATATAATAATTTTATAGAAAACTTTCCGAGATTTAAAATTTAATATTTTTTTGCACACGAGCAAGAAATGGAACTTACAACACGACTTTAATCCCCTTCGCGCGTTGTTTCATAATACGAAATTGACGCTTTTTTTCTCACGAACATATTTCTCGCGTTCTGTCATATTATACACTCCGCTTCTGTGCCGCTAACAATTTATGCATATGAGATACGGTGACGAACGGTTTTGTATTGACGCGTAAGCGTAATAATATTTTTCATCTCGTGCTCGTGAGCTCCCAGCAAAATGGCCATTCGCAAATTCATCCGTCATATTGAAATTGGATATATAGGAGGGGCCGTTCGTTGTCGAAAACAGCGTTTCACTGACGTATCACATCAATCACTTTATATAGGAGACGAAGAGAAAGAAAATACGCACACGGAGAGAGGGAGAGAGAGATTAAAGTATAATTGTATTTATCTGTCGTACACTTGCACAAAGTCACGGAGATATTCAACGTTTGACACATAGTAAATATGTTACATACGCCGATAGTCTCGTCAATCTAAATCGAGCGAGTAAAAAAAAGTAATGCACGATATCATAAAAAAAGCAGAATTATAAAAAATTGAAAAAATATGTGAATAATTATGATAAAAGTTTTAAAACTGTAGTTTAAAGTATACATACAGATTTTGAATTAATGACTTTCCATTTTGTATAGTGAATTAAAAAAACTCCAATTACGAAGAATCTCTGCTATTTTGTTTATTATTTATCGTTTACTTGTTCGCGGATAGTAGTTTATTGAAGGCCGATTCAATTGCGAGCGAGATGCATTCGCGAATGCAGTTGTATGATATATGATGTCAGCGATGAGATTATTATACCGGGCGACGGCAGTCGCTTTCGACTACCAAATCAGCATATGCTAATAACGTTCGATACTCGTTTCGGGTAGGTTACAAACGCACCAGTGGAGCGAGGACACGATCAAAACCGTGGTCAGGCCTCGCTGGCAAGTGCACGGCGGTTACGTGCCGAGGACCATGCAAATGATAGTCACGCCTCGGGTCCGCGCCGAGGTTCAAGCACACTTCAATTGCCCGGAACTCGAGGGCGCAGAATTGGAAGACCAGGGTGAGGACGGCACAGCCCTAACACATTGGGAGAAACGCGTGTTTGAGGTGCGTAATGTTGAATCCTCTTCGTTGCACGTGTTACACTAACGACACCAACAGTTTCAAACATCCACGGTATAAAACGAAATAAAGATACATTAGTTTTTTTAGCATTAAAATTTTTTTAATTTAAATTTTTAATAAAATTATGTTATTATTATCCTAATTCTAAAGTATGATAAATTTGCAGTGTAAAATCACACATAGAAAAAACAATTTTGTTGAAAGGTCTGAAAATTAATTCTTGTTGAATCATCAAAAAATTTTGTTGGAATGTTAAAAATGACAAGCATTGCTATAAAACGCTTTGATATTCTAGCAATTATTTTGACTTTCCCACAAAATTATTTTGATTATTGAACAAAAATTATTTTTAGATCTGGATCCAGCAAAATTACTCTTTCCGCGCATATTCTCGCATTTGAATTTTTCAACAAAAAATTTAAACGTTTGCTGAACTATATCATAGATTGGTATTTCCGTTTATTCAGAACGAAGCCATGACAGGGACACACACGCAAAATCCAGTTTACTCGAGGATAACGCTCGCCCTTATGGAAGATACTGGTTGGTACAGCGCCAACTATTCAATGGCGCAAGAGCTAGGCTGGGGGAAAAATCTGGGATGCGATTTCGCTATGAAATCCTGCAAGGAATGGATATCCACCAAATCGTCCAAGTTGTCGTGAGTACACCGCGAGATATTCGACAAAAATAAACCGCGTGTCGCAATAATTAAATGAGAATATTTAAATATTTCAGAGGGAAGTCGATACATCCTTTTTGCAATAAAGTGAAACAGGATCCATTGCAGACCGAATGTACGGATGATCGGAGTTCAGTGGCCTTGTGTAACCTGGTGAAACACTCGCAACCGCTGCCCCAGAAATACCAAGTAAGAAATATCTAGTAATCTATTGAAATATTTTAAAGCAGATGCGCGCGCGCGCGCGTACAAACGGAATGTCTGCATAGGCGATGTTACATCGATAGCGTGTGAGAATATTCGCGGTATGTGAAGAATTTCAGTTGACGATTTCTTCCATTGCAGAACTTCGATTCAATTCCCCACGTACCGCCGGGCGAGGAACAATACTATGGCGGCTCGGTATCTCTGGCGGATTACTGTCCTTACATACAGGAATTCACGTGGAGGGCGCGGAATATAGTAGTCAGGGGTTCTCACTGCCTTTACGAGGAGAATAATCCGCGTAAGTTACATACGGGCACATACAACATCGCGTGCGCGTCCCGAAGAAATAAACGGAAATTCGCTTGAAATACGTCTTTCTTTTAGACCCGGACAAGAATTTTGCATTAGAGAAGTACGGTCCTCATTCAAGGTGTTTTGACCACACTAATGACATGTGGGAAGAGAGAACTTGCAAACAAGCGCGTCAGTGGCAGCATTGGGGCTCCGGTTGCTACTCGTATAAGTGCGAAGCTGGGAGACTGCACATTATGGTGAGTTTCTAACGACTTTGCGGATGTTTCTAAGAATTCTCGTAATGCAACTACATACGAATAAATTCAGAGACAATTTCATCTCTTTTCTCAGGTCAGCAATTATACGTATACTTGTTACCATGCCGGACAGGAGATCGTTATAAGAATTATGCAGAATGGCTGGTTGCATAAAGGTGCTTTAATTTGCCCCCCCTGCCGAGATATTTGTCAGGTATGAATATGTATCTATGGTAACAATACATAACAGATACAGCCAGCTGTAGCCAGATAACTTAATAACCGATTTTACTTAATTTTCTTATAGGCGGAATTTAAAGCAAGGAACGAGTGGTGTAAGCCAGGGGACGAACATCCACCTTCGTATTATCACAAAGATTATCTTCAGTGTGCGTCCGCAGATACGTTTAGCCTAAGTATATCAACGCTTATTGTTGCAATCGTATCCTTCGTCGTTAGATGATAAATTATCAATTTTAGTTGATGTTTTAGCATTATTTAAATGTAAATACATAAATATCGTTTATTGACTTACGTATCATGTCAACAGCGATATTTTCAATGTGTTCGAAAATATTCCATTTCTCGCGACAGCGATGTTAATTTTCGTTATTGAAAAACATAATGAATATTGGCCGAGGCGACAATCGTAAATAGGCTCGTTATCTATGATATAAAATATTGGCCAAATTTAAGAGAATTATCAATTGGCTTTAAATATTGGCGTTAAATACGCGCGATAAATATGTTATTTTATTTGAATTTGATCCGTGGATGATAAGGCACGTGACGAGAGAGAGAGAAAGAGAGGCATTTTTAGGTGCCAATTTCATGTTACATATACATTCCTTCATTGGTCTGAATTATATATTTAACCAAAAAATTTGCTAATTTTATTATTATTATTATATGTTCATAAAGGCCCGTCTACATAAGTCGCAACACGCAAAACGCAAACGTAAACGCAGAGAAAAAAAAGAAACATAAAAAAAAGAAAGAGAGAAACATCATCTTGCGTCCGCGTTTGCGTTTTGTGACTTAGATGAGCCTTTATATATGTTTTACTTTGATTAACACTTTGCGGTCCGCAGTTTATATTTAACTACAGCAACAATTGATTTCTGACTGATTGTGAAACAATCTATGGCCATACGAACTGAGCCGCACTTTTTTAACCGCAAACAAATGTCAATATAAAATTATATATCAAGATAAAAATATTTTGTTTTTTTTAAATGTAAAGTTTATATATTTTCTCCTTATCATTAAATATAATAATTTTTAATTTTTGCATTTATTTCTATTCTCTCAGGTAGTTGAAAATAATGTTTCTGAGTTAAAAAGCTTCATTTATATAGTTATAACGAATCTTTGAAGTAAATTATAAATTTTATTTTAAATATTTAAATGTATTTCTTTTTTGTGTATATATGTTATTTTGAAACAATATTCTATACATAATCCCATATTATATTGAGGGCCGTTTAATTGAGCGTTTGCATTGCAAGCAACATTTTGCTTTAATCTATAACAACTGCGTGCAACAATCGATACATATATACGTCGATAAAATTGATATTTTTGGGCGATAATAACGTGTACCGCAGCGGACGAATCGCAAAGTGTTAATTCTTATACTTGATATTATTATATTTTCTTTATTATTTTATGTGCAAACATTGTCTAAGCAAAAGTGAATAATCTCGGTCATCGCTCAATTCAAGACGATGAATAATTGTACTGTAGCTGATAGATAATTGCTAATATTATCTGACGAATGTGTGTACACACGGACTGCAACCGCTGCCGATATAAAGATTATAAAGTTAATATAAGATTTTATGAATGACGTAAATTAGTCGTAGAAATTAATAAGTCTAATAAAGAAACGCTATACATTGCTGATAAATGACAATGTAAACATATATTTTGCATGATACGACGACGCAAATAATAGTTTGTAGAAAAACTAGAAGTATGTATATATCAGATACGTATGCTATATTTACAATTCATATTTGCGAAATATTACAAATTAATTTTGTCAATAATGTATAGCGAACATTTTTTAGACATTACAAATCGAGATATCAATATTCACGAAAAAAAAGATTTAACTTTACATTTCATTCTTTATAATGCAATGTAAAGATATATATTGCGGCTACATCGAGCTGAATCTTCTTCAACATTCGTGATTATTGATAGCATTATTAACAAATCCGCGACATTCCTGATAACATGTGTACGAAAGTTCGTGTGAACATACGCACGCAAGTCATATCGAACAATATACGAATAAATGTGAAAATTAAAGTGATTTAAAAGTATGACAAACCAATTTATCAAGGATTGTCGATTGTTGTGTATCTGAATGGATATCGTGAATGTGTATATTATGGTATAAAAAGGAAATCTTTGTACATACAGTTCCGAAAACGCGAATCTAGTAATGTAACAGATTTACAGCGTTTCGCGTAAATAACATAATATTCCAATCCTAACAATTAGTATAATAGGCTTTAATAAGTATATTAATACGAATGTTGCGCCGAATGTTTTTTAATTTCTTATCATTTAGTATGCGTTCGATGCGTAAAATTTTCGCGGAAAATTATTTTCACTACAATTTTAATTGCAGTTTTCCAAATAGCACGCATATCCAAAATCGGAATATACGATGTCTCTTATACCCCGATTTTTAATATATGTGCTATCTAGATTGAAACAGATTTATAATATATTTTATTTGTTTGATAAAAATTCATGATTTCTTAGATGCTTTGCGGATATAGATATATCGGCGCAATGATTGCGCAGATTAGTAAATAAAAAATATCTAATAATTTTATCTTTACTGAAAAAAAATGGCAAAACGATAAGGTCAACACATAGACTGTATATATACTAAAGCCTGTATAGTAATCATCTATAAAATATGGCTAACCCGTTCTACATCAATAAAATATTGAGTATTATTTTATCATTTACACAGAAAATAGTGATGTTGATATAGCAGTATTTTTTCAAGAACATTCCACAAAAGAGTTATTTGTCGGTTATATGAATAATTAATAAACGTGCTAATTTTCTTCTTATAATACATATATTTCAATTTAGTATATTCCCAAAATTATAATGTGAATTATGAGAATATTTTTAATTTTATTTTGTACAGAGATGATTAATATTTAACACATATACTTTGTAAAGAACTTGAAGATATCTCAGTATTGCATCAAATATACTGAGATGTATATTCAAGAACATTTCTCGCGAATTTCTGCTAACGTCGTTGCTTGACATAAGAACAAATTTTAATGCGTTAACAAACGTCATCCGGTAAATGTTAATATTGAACGCATTAACAAATGTAGGAGATATGTTTTAATAATTCTGTAAGGCCCAACTATGAAAAAATCGAGGATATATATAGGCATGTATGCGTGTGTGCGGCTATTTAAATATATATATTATAGAATATAGATTGTTCAAAATTCTGAGCTATTAGTCTGTTAAATTTTTATGAAAACAATTATGAACTCGTATAAAGTTGTTAGAATGTATGTTTTAACTATTAATTTGTTATTTAATTTGTAATAATATACTTTGTTATAAAAAGCTATTACAAAAAATATATTACGATTTGAGAAATTACAACTTTAATAAAAGACTATATTATAATTATGCGGCTCAGAAAAATTGTACATATAATTCTAAACATTTTTCTTTCTAATTAAGTACCAACTACAAAATGAATTTATATTATACATATATGTATTACGGCTGTATTAAATGATTTCAAAAAATTTTCTTTAAACATTAGATGCACAGAAATTAATAGAGGATAGTGAATAAGAAACAGTTTTTAAATACTTTATTAGAAGGTAATATTATTTTCAATTTGATTTTACAATTATAAATAACTTGTAGGGTTATTTTATAATTTAATATTTACTATAAGTCTAATAAGTAATAGTGTATTACTTATTAATACTATTACTTATTAAACATGAGGTGTAGTTAATAATTTAGTTTTACTTTTATGGGTATCTGTGCCATTATATAAAAGTAAATATTCTGCATATTTTTTATGACAAATTACAGGAACGTAATTTTCTTTATTATTGAAAATTCAGTAAAAAAAATTGTTATTGGCAAACATTTTTTAATAAAAAATGTAATAGTTAAATAAGATTTAAATACGTATTTGTAAGCTCTAAGAATATGTTTAAGAAGTGAGATTATTTTTACAGGTATCGAAGAATTAATGTAACGATACAGATATATACCAATTTAAAGGTATACTTCAGTTAAAAACAAGAAATAATAACTGATAGCTGATAAGTTTTAATATTAATACCATTGTATGCGCAGATTTTATCGCAAAATTGATGCATTTAATCCTCCTTTTGTGAGTTTTATTAATGTAAGTGTTGGTAAATATTTTCCTGTATTCTTACACATATATGAGCTTTGGATTTTTATAATTCTGAAAATATTTGGATTGGTACCCCAAAAATAATGTTCCATTGTATATGACTTTACAAAAAACGAGCTTATAGCTGAGATAAGGAAAAATATTTAACCATATCATAATAATAAAAACGTTATCACAAAGGAGGATTTATGATGTCAATCTTGCATTATGTAGCATTAGTTTTTTTCTATTTCAAAACGTGTAGATCTCCAGTATATGTATAACCAAATTATTGATTTGAACATATATTTTAAAATTTATTTTGTCTAGATCATTTAATTGCAAAATTATCGATAATAGAATATTTAAGCACTTTATTTGCATCGTAGCACATAAAAAAGTGCTCACTACCTCGGCTACGTTAAGCAATCTGTATTTTATTGCATTCGCCACTAAAGAGGTATATAAGAAATGTAATGTATTATAATATGAAATTCTCCTAGTACTTTGTTTTTGTGAGTATAAGAATTCTGCATACAGATTAATAAACAATTAAAAATTTAGAATATAAACGTATTGTTGAACTTTTTTCTTAAAATGGTTTCCACCCATCTATCACTTCTAATTAAAAAGCAAATTGTTTTGAAACGTAACGTGCAACAGGAAGTTATTAAAATCTTAAAATAATAACGAGAAACGTTCGCCGAAAGAAAGAATTATTGCCGCATTCAATAATCCCAGATAATTCGTGCATTACGAGGTAATATAATTTTTTTAGCTTAATATGAAACAATTTTAATTTTTAAATATAGTTATATAATCGTAGAAATAAATACATTTAGATAAACAGTTTAAGAATATAATTTATAATTTACAAATATAATTGACAAGGTATTTTACTGCTGCATTTATTATTATTTAAAAATTTTAATATTTTTATTCTAATAATTGTAAAAAAAAATTGTTTCATATATTTAATATAATTTTTTTCTAAATATATCTTACCTAAGAAATAAAATATAAAGTAATTAATTACCAAAGACGATGTGCAGCGGTGGAGTTGTAGTATATACAATGTTGATCTGTGTAACAAATACATAAATATATCTAAATTAGTAAATGTTGACATAAATATGTTGAATATTTAACAAAAAAATTGCCGTATTTGATGCAAAAAAAACTTTCGTAAATATTAGCTTTTATAAAATATGATAAGAAAAAAATTTCAGATAGAATCCTATCTTAGAATTATCGTGTTACCTGCGTAGAAGTCTCTTTTCCCCAATGTTTAAAAATTCATATCTTCCAGAAAAATAAAGATATAAACTTCTTTCTGGGCTCATCTTAAAGATGATTTGAAACGTGGCTATTTTTTAAGAAATCGTGATTTTATTTAAAAATGGCCGATTCAAAATGGCCGATTAAAATGTAATTTTTTTGAAAATTTATTTTTTTCAAAAATTGTTAAAATTTCTTTAATTAAAATGTAATTTGGCATAAATGTTATTGGAAAACGTATGGGATATAATACGCAGCGCGTTCGAAGCGCGCGCCTGTTATGTACTAGTATTGTAAAAGCGCTCGGTCTCTTAATAAGTATTGTTATAAACTGAATCAATATTGTGTACGTCTCTCTCTCTCTCTCTCTCTCTGAAGTAGGAGATATTTGAAAAAGCGATATAGAGGTAAAGGCAAAAAAATAGAAAGAGAACAAAAATAAAGGGTAGACTCACCGCAACATATTTTTGTTTTGCGTAGAGGCACATTCCAATGTTATTCCAAAGGATTGAAGATTCTGGAATGGTCTGTGCCGCAACTTTATATTTCGATAAGGCCACGTCGTACTCTCGATGATTCTGGAAAATATGATGTACGCTGTCCAACGCAAGGATATGTAAATCTTAATCTAATCTGCTGAATATGTTTTTGTGATGCAAGAAAATGCCTTCAGTTATTTACATTAAAGCAAAACGGAATATAACGCTTTATCTACTTTATAACTTCAAAACAACCAATTTTTTAAATGAAAATCAATTCAATGAAAATAATTGGATCGGACACGATCGGACGGAGTCGTCGCGATCGATTAAATTCCTTTGCAAATTTAAAATTATCCAAGAGATATTATTTCTATAAATTTACGTGCACCTGCATTATGTAAGCCATAGGTAAGATTGCCTTGACGCAATTAGGCGAATGAGCCAGAGCCGCTCCAAATTGTTGAAATGCCCGTTGCGTATCTCCGATTCTGAGATACAAGAGACCCAGTTCTGTCGCTGCATCTATACTCTGAGGATTTCCGCTGCATGCGCATAAAGAAAGCGACGAAAATAAAAGCAGGAACGATTGATTGAAAGAAAAAGAAGATAAGAAAAGAAACGAGAAAAGAGAGAGAAAATGAGAAAATGTCGTAAAGATGTGATCGAAAAATAATTATAGATTAATAAATATTTTTTATTTGTTTGCATCTAATGGTACATGAAAGTGAAAATAATATTTCTAGAATCACGCGATTCGTATAGTTCTGATAACGACCGTTACTTACTTCAAAGCTGCCGTATAAACGTTTCTAGCCTCTGGAATCATATCATCCGAAAGATAGAGTCTCGCGAGATCGATATTGGGTAATTCACTTTTGGTTAATTCCGTTGATCTTTTGAAATGTTTCTTGCCCTCTTGTAATTGATTCAATTTCACGTGAGCCTCGCCTACGAACGAGAGAAACAAAATAATTCTGTCTGTAATGAACGATCAACGGAAAGAAAGAAGGAAAGAAGCGTCATTTAAATTTACTTTAAAGTCGAACGTGCATTATGACGTGCAGCTGTCTGCAGAGAACATGCGCCAAGTACTTAAAATGCAGTTACTTAATTATTTCTATGCGCGCAATATGGAACTAAGGTAAAAGCATTTTCCTGGTAAGATAAAATAGCATTTTCTGTTTTATGTGCATCGCAATTCAAGCTTGTAAAACTTTGCTAATGTGCTGCGCAAAATAAAATATATCGCGTTGTAAATAACTTGCCGAGGCCATGATATATTTCCCAATCTGGTAAAATCGATATCTTCTCAGCTTCCGCATATGCGTCTATCGCGCGTTTGTGACTTCCCATTATTAATCTAAAAATTTACGCGTATATTATTTATCTTTACTTAATAGATAATTTTCTTTCCTTTCTCTTTTCGAAATGACTTACAGCGATTTTGCTATCTGTTTAATATTATCAACGTTTGTCGAATTTACATTATATGCAGTCTGAAAACAATCCAAGGAATCTTGAATCTTGCCCTCCTTTCTAAGGATTAAACCCTGTGAGAGGATAAACCCAGTGTGAGATTAAATGATGGCCAATTCGATGTCAAATCGATATGATGATTTCGACATCAATTCGACATCGAATTGAAAATCATTTCTCACTGGGAAACAGCTCGGTTATGTATACATACATTACATAACCGCGTAAGGAATTAAAGGAGGAAAAAATATTTATATAGTTGTTTACATGGGGTGTTTTGGGGATAAGTGACATTTGATGAGAAATATCGCTCAGATCGCAAATTTGATATTATTTTTGACATTTCATATTCATTGTAGACATCATTGTACACAAAATTTTAGATTTGTCAAATAGTAAATTTTTAACATGCGTACAGTGCGTTAGTATTTTATTTTGAATAGAAAGCGTTTTTTTTTTGCCACAATGGAAACAAGTGAATTCCGTGTGTTAATAAAGCGCTGCACATTTTGCATGGAAAAACCATTAAAGAAACTGAATACATTAATCATGTTGTAATGTGATTGAGAGATACACACAATTGATGATATATAACTAAAATTAAACTTATAATTCTTTTAGATTTACAAATTCAGAAAAAACGGAATTCACTTTTACAGTTATTTTCATTTACGAGTTACACGAATAAGACTTTGTTCAGCTTTTGTCTATAGTAGATTTTCAGTTTCGCGCGGGCAGTGGCAAGATACATATACCCAAAGCTACCATGCACCGACGCGCGATTGCGCGCGATTAGATTAATGCCAATTTTCATTTTTTGTGCGTATACATTCGCCTTTATTCTCCTACCTTCAAATAATTGGCGTATTCATGACCATTCGATTTCGTTAATTCCTGCTCAATCAGTAGCTTGCAAGCGCTGTATTCGTGTCTCGTGTAATGTCGATGTAGCAACCAATTACGACTCTCTATTGCTGCTATATCTGGCGCTGCAGCATTCAACAAAACCACCGAATATAAGAAATGATGGAAAAATAACGTTCTTGCTTGCTGGCAAAGAGAATTAAGGGATCGGCTGCTGCGACGCGCCGCGCGCGACAAAACGATCTCGTATGTATACATATACAATATGTATGTATGTACATACAAGAAAAATATATACTTGTCAAAAATCGGTTGATCGGGAATCACGCATACATTGAATTATTTGATTTGACATTTACTTGAAGCCATAATAATATTCGATACCTCGTTTCCCTCTGTCGTTTCTCGTTCGTTGTACAACTGTATTTTCCTGTAAACGGCCATTGCTGACAATGTCATTCGCCATTATATATATCTTTGCGATAATTTCAACCAACAATCGGCTTAGAAATAATGATAGTTTTCTTTTTGTTTTACGCGCGCTGCTTCCTATCCATTTCCATTCGATATACTCAGGTATTTAGAGAGAATAGAATCGCGAGAATTGTTTCGTAAGTTTGATCGCTATGGCAACCGAATTTGTCATCATTCGGTGCACCCGGCACCGCGCGGTCCCCACTGGTCGCCACTGTCGGCAGTGCCAGCACTGCCAGCACTGCCAACCGCACCGCGCGTCCACTGTCGATGATCGATCGCGCGAGCGCGAGCAATCGCGAGATCGAAGTGATCGAAGTGATCGAACGATGTCGCTAGCATCATATACGCGCCAAATGTATAATTGCTGTTTGTATCTCGAGCTGAGTCGAGCCAAATGGACTGCGGACAATTAACAATAATAATACTGACGACGAATGCGAAACGAAACATGAAATATGGAGCAGAATCCAATGAAACTTGGGACGCGGAAGATCGGGTCGGTTGCGCGTTGCGCCGCGATTAGCCCGCGTATGCGGCATACCTGCATGCATATATAATTCCTAACGCGTTGAAAATAAATTAAACAACGTAAGAGAGGAGAAGAAAGAGAAAGAGAGAACATGCCTCGGATGCCGGAGCTGATATTACCGATATATGTATGTGTTATGGCCGTTTATGTGCTATCAAATATCAGTGAGATAACGCTGCGTTGACGCGCCGCGCACCTGTTATTGCTCTCACGTTATCACTGGCGCTCCAACTGCTTCAAGCCCTCCAAGATGTAGGCGAACGCCGACGACAGCTGACGACACGACAGCGCAGGCAGCGCGCAGCTTGTTGCCTTGGAGAGAGCGCGATAAACCGTACGCGATAAGTCTGCCACGACCGCGCGACGATCGTGACGTATACTCTCCCTTGGAGAAGGTGCACGAATTGCGGAAACCAATACGAAGCTCATTCACGAGAGAGCGATGTAATGCGGAATCGCACGTCGGCTGAGGCCGGGGCCGCAAACAGCCGGTTAGGTTAGGTGTCTCTTGTCAGTGTGACGTTGGAAAAAAATTACAAGTTTTTCGCTTATCACTTTCTTTCACACCTGTTTACTGCTGTTTACACGAATTTTGCTTGTCTCGCGTTCGCATCGTCTCGTATTCGGAATTCTTACATGGATTTAGCGAACGCATAGCGCACGAGATTAGTTTTTTCTTCCATTTGGTAATTATTACAAGGCTATTACAAGCTCTTAAACTAACGAGAGGGAGGTAAGAGAGAGAGAAATGTCTAATTTATACCTCCCTCTTAGTTTCTATCTTAATGACACTAATTTCATCCGTCTTGTCGTGATGCCAGAATATTACATGATTTTACAGGGACAAACGTATATACTTAAACACAATGTGGTAATCGAAAGAGATTGAAAGTCGAGATGAGCTGTTCTGTGGAATTACGCCAGCGCAGGCAACAGGGGATGGCGGAGGATCCTCATAAACTCGCGGCAATGATGAATAAATCTCAAAGACTCGTACTGGGACTTTTAATTTTATTGCTGGTTGATATAATTTGGGTATCCAGTTCCGAGCTTACCAAAGTAAGATCAAGCTTTTTATCTTATCCTTTTATTGCAATCTTTCCCTATATCTTGCATTCTTTGCGAGTATCATAACTTACGTCCCAATATTTATCGTTTGCAACTATCCTTAAACTAATTTAAACATTTTTATTATATATGCAATAATAAAGAAAAATCAATGATTTTATACATATATATATATATGTCCTGTTTCAGTACATCTACAGAGATGAAACGTTCGAAAAGCCATTTTTTAGTACATATGTAAAAACATCTATGTTTACCTTTTATTTACTTGGCCTGTGTTTTTGGCCACCCTGGCGGGAACAATGTAATAAACCTGCAACATATATGGTATTTCGTTATGTTATGAACTTGCATAAAACATCATTCTTTTTCTTTTTGCTTACACATATCTCTCAATCTCTCTCTCTCTCTCTCTTTCTCTCTCTCTCTCTCTCTCTTTTTCTCTGATATATTTTACTTTCTTTCAGTTCATAGATCCCAATGTGGAAGACGACAACTTTTATTCGGAGGCTAATACAAGTCTAGTAAGTGTGAAATTATTATACCGAATCCACGTGTGTTTTCATATAACATTTTATTATCATACATCAAAGATATCGTATGCGCATCACAGATTTAATCGAGACTAAATAAGTTGCATTGGAAAAATGTTAAAATTCTATTGACAAAGTAATTTATGTTTATCCTATACACGTGTGTTAAAAATAAGAATAAGGACACACTCAGCTGTATTGTACTAATGGTCATTCGTTTTACCGTAGAGCGATCCAACGTTTGTTCCAATAAAAACGCCGGATCACTGCGATCGTTCGTCTGGTACGGAAAGTGACGATTCGTCCATTCGTTCTGTAAGATTCAGTAAGCTGGCGGAGGTGCGCCATATGTCGGAAAGCGATGCCACCGAGGCTTTATTGGCGCGACTTAGTTATCAAGCGAGTGTTAGAGCTGGAGAACACGCGAGACGACAAGCTAACAAATTCTCTGTACAAAAAGTGGCTAAAATAGCCCTTATGTTTTGCTTATTTGTAAGTACAATAACATAATATATTGGGAAATTCAACTCAACGTCACCGGTATCTCAATCGGTTTATCGGTATCTGCATACATACTAAATCGACTGTACTGTCTTTTAGTGGTTCATGGCAAATTATACATACCAGATATCATTGGAGCAAACCCAAGCCAGAATCGTTACTGTACTGTCTTCGACTTCCAGTTTATTTACTTTATTTCTCGCTGCCTCTTTCCCCAGTAATGGAGGAGATAAATTTACGCTATCTAAATTGGCTGCTGTGCTAGTTAGCATTTTCGGACTGGTAAGTTGCAAGAACTTATTAGCGCGACACAATTACAATTAATGAATTAAATCATTCGTGGAAAAGGATGAACGCGTTTTACAACGGGGCGGGTCTTCTACCCTTTTCAATTACATTCATACAAGAGAAAATTTTAGTCAACACGCACGCTTATGTTAGGCGATATTAGACGCGATATATGAATAAAGAGATTAAAAGAGACCATTTATTTTTTCACTTTCTTTACAGGTATTAGTTGGTATTTCGGATTTAACTATAGAAAATAATAATATGTCAACGGGCATAATATTAGTTCTAGTCAGTGCTTTTTTCTATGCTGCGTACATTGTATTTTTAAAGAGAAAAGTAGATCACGAAGACAAGATGGATATACCAATGTTTTTTGGCTTTGTGGGGATATTCAATTTAACACTTTTGTGGCCTTTATTCTTTATTCTTCATTACGGTCATTGGGAAGAGTTCGAATGGCCAAATAGTCATCAATGGACATTCCTAATTATAAACGGTCTAATTGGTACTGTTCTGAGCGAAGTTCTTTGGTTATGGTAATATACAATTCAACATATTTATTATACGTTATTACGTATAGGTACGGTAATAATAGTGATTGCACATTCGATTATATGTCTATCTGCAGGGGCTGCTTTCTGACATCATCTCTCGTAGCAACAATGGCTGTGAGCTTAACAATGCCCATGTCAATGGTAGCCGAGGTCCTCTTGAAAAAAGTTGAATATCCTTGTATTTTCTATTTGGGAAGTATTCCAATGCTTTTAGCATTTCTGACAGTATCTCTTTTATCTTATTACGACAATTGGGATCCCGTTATGGATTTAATAAAAAGGTTTTTCATCTGGATGTGCAGGAGAAACAACAGATCTACAAGGTAGAGATCGCGCGCGCGCGCGCATATTATTGTTAAAAATAATATTGTTAAAAATAACAGATATCAATCTAATTAAAAATTAAATATATTATTGCAACAACAATAGTGGCATTGACCAGAATTGTAACGTTGCAATACATACATAGTACTCTCTATATGTGAATGAGATGCATGGAAATGAAATCAACATTTTTATCACAGGATTCCAGACCTTGAAGCAGAGCAAACGGAATCTTTAATAGGAATAGACAGTGGCGATCATGAAGCTTAATAAGACAATAATGAGAAAATTGATAACACGGTAAAACACCTCGTGTTATACCTCGACATACGAAGAAGGAAAGAAAGAAGGAAAGTGCTTATTAGTTTATTAGTTAATAAGCACACATTTCTCATATCTACGTGCCTCCATCGGCCGTGAATACCCGTCATTTCATTTCAAATCGTCTTACTGTCAGAGTCGTTTTATGATGTTTTATGGTACGAAGTAACGATATAGTAAGTAACGATAGTCTTTCGATCTTACTTTCCCCTTACTTACGAATGTAAGTCGCTTTATTTCGCACTAAGCATCACAAAATGATGATATTACTGCCGGACAATAACGATTGCGAGTCAATTTACGACAAAAACGCAATTAACATGCTTTATTTGTTCGAGCTCATTATGCATTTTTCAAGCTACCTCTTTGTATTTCTTACTTCTTACTTTATTAGTTTATTTTGCAAAACGAATACGGCTTTCATAAAGCGGCTATGCCATTAAGATCTCTGGTAACAGCATAGCATTGTTATTTCGAGACTACGTCGTACTTGGGTCGCTTGCGCTATATCTTATCCTATAACTGGGTTCACAAAAAGAAATTCAGTGTCTTTACCAAAATCTGTATATACTATATGTAATAAGAGTTGATGAAAATCAAAGAAATATTCCTTTATAAGACTATACTTTTCACTAAACAGTAATATTTTTTATGCTCTACTAAGGCTTTATATCAACGTTATAACAACATGTTGATAATTAATGAATGAATAACTTATTAAAAGCAAAGAAATAGCACTCTGCTACATGCTAAAGGTAATGTTTTTCATAACGAGGCACATCCAGTGCATTCTGTACTTATTATTTTTAGTATTTGGCTGATTTTAGACAAAGTATTATAAATGAGATATAGTTTTACTAATTAAGAGTTATATACATAGTGGAAAGAGAAGAGAGTGCGCTAATGCTTTGGACCAATTAAAAATTTGAGGATAGTAAAATGAAGAGTCAGTACTCGTCCGTAGAGAGTAGAAAATCAATGACGTGAGATCAAAGTTTTATATATTCAAGACGAGAACAATGATTCGCGCTATATTTATATTTCAAGCGTCTAGTCATGACACATCTATCGGCTCATATCTCGCTAATACTAAACTATAATTTCGTGATTTAATTCGGCAGTTATTAAACACAACAGCGATTCTATTATTTATATAGAAATAATAATTACGTTCACATTTTTCTTCCGCTTTGATAATTAACACGCACAAGTTTCACTATGTTGTGTTCAAATATTAACAAGGTCTACTAGATAAGATAGATGTGTAAAATGTGAGTATCATAAATTGCGAAATAAACTGTTTATTGATTTCAAAATTCTGTATCGGGACAGACGTTAATTATTACATAAAAGATAACTGTGTAAAATGGAATACGAAAACCACCTATGTGCTTTCGCCCGCGCGTAGTCATACCTACATAAAAAAAATAATAATAATAACTTACACATTTCACATCTCTTAACCGTGATACACGGGGGTGGAAATCGCGACGTTCATGTCGCGACTTTTGAAAAATTGATATACATCTCGACTGATCTCAATTCAATTAAACGACGCGTCGTACGCCATGTCGTAGGTGTATGTATATTATATATATATATATTTTTATTAAAGTTACACGTTTCTCGACTTTGTAAAATGTCTTAAAAATTATATATCTACGCCATAATATAGCACCGATAATTTGTAGAAAGAGAAAGAACATTTTAAAAAGGAAACAAGTTTGCAAGCAACATCTCTGAGGAAGAAAGCAAATATAAAGATCAAAGGGAAGGGCAGTTGCAATGTTAGATTAATGATACGATGTGATATAACAATAAATAATAACGTTGCGCAAATATACTTTAGAATAGTATAATGCGATTCATTAAAAGAATAGGTAGTAATTGATTGTTCCTGTAACGTTATAACCAGACTTGAAATTGAATTTGTGCGTTGGCCATTGTTACGTGTCAATGGAAAGATATTTTTCGCTTTTGATCATATCCAATATATTGCTAACATATTTGCTAATGTTCGTTGAGGTATAAATCATTCATATGATCTCGTACTCAAAATTTAAAAGAAAATGACATTTTCTCTCTCTCTCTCTCTCTCTCTCTCTCTCTCTCTCTCTCTATCAAAATCCAAGACTGGCTATAACTATGTCTATTGTATATTCAGTGTAAATATTATGCTCTAAAGTTAAATTTAAAGTTGTATACATATATTATATAAAAAATATGTGATAATAAAAGTATAATCCGTAACAATTTCATTTTTATATCCACGTCTAAACGGTAATAAGAATAATAATTCCAAGACAATTGCCTCTCGACAAACAAAATTTATAATTCGATTCGGTTTATAAAAAAAAAGGCATTGGATGTTGAAGAGACATGTAATTGACACAATCGTGCCTTCGCATAACTTTTTTGGCCAATATATATCATATATTCCAATTTAATGAGAGAAATAACGCAATATATAAAGTTATAAAGGTTTTCAAGTATTCACAATTATCCATTTCGCGATATGGCACGCGATAACGAAACAAATACACTCGAGTTGAACATAAAAGGTAAAAACTAGGTAGAAAATATCGTTGTACACGAAAACAATAATATAATATAAATATTTTAATATTGTAATATTTGATGTTTTTAGTAAATGGACAAAATTTATCATCAATTTCAGAAAAGTGTAATATCGGTACATTACGGTATATAATTGTGTATACTATTATATTATTGAGTAAGTAAATAAGATGTTCATTTTTTTATCATGATTTCCTCGATATTATAGGATTCCTTCTGATCCGTCTTGGCCTAAAATACCTCTACGTCGTTCAAGTAACAATACCGATGACATTATTGAACCTCCGTGTGTGATCACTTTGACAGGAACCCCTAGAAAAGGTCGCAGTGTAGTGCAACCGGTTGCAAGTCGGTGAGTTTTCCAAGCGTTATACTCTACGTAAATTTAATATCGCACGAACAAATCTAAGAGCCTGTACTGCATTTCCTACATATTTTCTCTCTCTCTCTCTCTCTCTCTCTCTCCCCCCCTCCTTTCTTTTATTTTTTATTTTAGATATCTCAAATCAAGATTAAGCCAAAGATACGAAGCAACCACACATATACCGAAAAGACTGCCTGGCTGTTTCGATCCACGTTTTAGAAGGTATTAATTCACAAGTTAAAGTTAAGTTTATGCTTTGTTACAACTCATGACTTTGTGACAAATCAGCTGTAATATAGTAAGTGACACAGAATAGCAGCTAACATTGCCATGTCTCACAGTTTCCTCCAATATATCATTAGCTAATGTATTTTTATCTACGTTACGTTTCGTTAACATGCCGTAACGGAAAATACAGGCAGATATCGCGGCAGAAAGCTGAGAAACCAGATGAATTTTATAGCACGTTAAAAAACGATGAAGAAACCAAGCCAGAGTTGGACACACATATCACGCAAGGAACGAAAAAAAAGCTTGAGAATAAATCACAGAAAACAGGTGAAAACACGAACGGTTACATACCATCGCGTCACGATGTAAATAATTTATTATCAAACGTTGCAAAATTGACGGACAAGACCATCGATTATGCCATTAACGAACAATCGATTTTAGAAGCGAAACACTGTCCAACAAGTAATTGTGTGTACAAAACGTCATGCGAAACGATTATGCGTATAATAAATGATACAATTAATTTTCTAAAGTCAATTCTAAAGAAATTCATTTCAGCTTTGCACGCGACTAACGAGCGATATAATGTTGAAAGTAAATTTTCTCAAGAACAAAAACAAGTATGCAAAGTTTCAGATGTTTGAGATTGTATCAAATCATTGGCATTAAATGGTTAGAAGCATATTTTTTTTTATCGTGTATTTATCTGTTTCTTAATTAGAAGCCAATTAACAAGCCACTGCTTTTAATGGTTGATGAGAAAAGGATACACGCGCTTCCTATCAACAGTCTTAACATAGAAGCCGCTTCTTCGTCCGCGCAATCACTGCAGTGTTACAGCGTTCCTGTAGTTCCTGTAGTTGCCTATCGCGATGTACCTTTGCAAATGAAAGACGCAAGTGTGCCTACGCAAATGGAAGAGAATGTTAAAATATTGTCCGTGTGGCAAAATGACGGTAAAGTGAAAGATGGAGAAATTGACGGGGATAGAACTGCAGTCTGTACAAGGTCGACGTGCAGCTTTAGAAATGAGTCTAGTAATGAAAAATACCCCCTTGATAGTAATTAATTATTATCAACAATTTGTATTGCTCGTCGATAAAGCAAGGAATTTGACGTGATCGGAATTTTTATTGTTTCTAGATGTGACTGAACGTTGTATCGCGAAGAGCAGCGATGATATCTCTATCTCGGGGAAGAAAAGTATTTTCAAGCATTGTGACGGACCCGATATTTCCGGTCGGATATGCGATAACAAGAATACCGATTCGAGCGTGTTATCGAATCGAGATGTTGCAAACGAGATTACGCTCAGTAAAGATCATTACGGAAACTCTGATGCGCTAGACAACGCGGGCGATGCGGATAAACCTTCGACAAACGTAATAAATGACAAAATGTTGGATAAAAATATGCAAAGTTTAGCCTTTGGCGATAATAAGGAATATAGGAAAAATAAGCAGGAGAAGGAAAGGCATGGAGAGATGCTGCGCATCAATGCGAAACGTAAAACGGCACCGATGAATCTGTCGAGAAAGGCAAAGTCGTTCTTTCGAAGAAACTCCCGTTTGGCGATTACAGATTCCGATTGCACTCTGATATTGCCTGGCTGTCGTGGCATTAAAGGTAAACGATACGAAAAGATATACGGTCAGTCGTTAGACGTTAGGAGAAACGGAATAAATAGTACGAATTCCATATTAGTGAAATACAATGCGTCGAGACAGGGCCGAATAAACTTTCGTTCTTTGACGAATCTACGAGCGGGAAATTCATTCGAGAAGCCATCGTCCATTCCCCTGGAGACACAAGAGCTATTGAACAAAAGTTATTGGGAATATTACTGGAAACTCCGGCGTAAGATCACGTCTACAGCGAATGACGCGAAAGAAAGGGACGAATGCTTAAACGAAGATCATTTACCTGAATCTCAAACGTTACGACAGTGCTCCGTCCTCTCTTGCATGATCAATACGGCGCTTCGAGATACGACTCGTCGGGCGTCGACTGCAGCAGCCGATGGAAAACCGACTTCAGATTCACGTTTGGCTGTGAACGTGATGTCTAATGTACGCAAAAGTGTTTACGAAGCTTCTGCAGGATTGCCCTCCATGTTCGTGAAGAAGATTCAAAGAAAAAAGATGAAGCGATCAGCGCGGAGCAACCGGTTGCTCGGACTTCGAGCGATAGGTACGCGCGACGTCTCTCGAGCTTAGCTTATTTTCCAGAATCCAGATCGCATCGTGTTCGAATATCTCATCATTATTAGCTAAAAGGCTAAAAAAAAACATGGAAAAGCTATATAGCTTTCTTTTCTTTAAATTATCAACTTAATTCTGAATCGTATTACTATTACACACTTATCGTTTATTTTTCAATCTTGCGTTTATAATCTCTTTCTTTTAGCGCTGCTGTGTATCGCGATGTATGTCGCGGTCATATTTTTGCCTATGACGTACGACTATTTCTTTGACGAGGAATACGACGACGAGGATACGAATTATATTCAACTAACGTTCCAATACGTCGCATCGTCGTTCGCAGAAGCTCTCGATGGCATTATCGATGTCCTGACAATTTTTTTATCATCAGTAAGATTCAATCGAAAGCGATAATCTTTAATTAGCTCGCGCTCGCTTAAAGTGCTCTTGCTAAATTCATGAGACATACTTGAATATAGATGCGATTGTTTCATTCGTGATTGTTCGTTTCACGTCTACGAAAATTAATAATTATGCTTGCATCTCCATGTATGACAGAGTCTGTATCATTTTCAGCATTCGTAATGTGGAAAATGTAATACGTTATCCATTCCGCGAATCTGATCTAACGTACATACATGTGTGTGATCCGTCATTCATCCATTCTTCGCGTGGCTGGCCATTTCTACGCACGTTTACATATATGCTTAGTTTTCCTGATTTGAGTATATATATATATATATATATATATATACTATATATATGTACCCACTAAACGGAAATGGATTAAAATAAATTGAAATGGATTGGCCTTGGTGAAAATAAATGCATTTCTATAAAGGCCAATCCATTTTAATCCATGGTTTAGAAAATTTCAATCTATTTCAATTTAACATAAAATATTTTAATCCATTTCTGTATACTGTGTATGTATATGTATCTTCTATATTTTTTTGTAGTGAATTCTCTATATTTTTATATAGGAAGATATTTCCTACAAATGCATATATATTATATTGTATACATGTACGAGTTTATACACAATTAATTTATATATTATACCTATATATTCGCATGTAAAATATGTAAAATTGTACATATATACATATGTACATACATACATGTGTGTGTGTGTGTATATATATATATATGTATATATGTATGCCTTAATATAATTAAGACGATATATATAACCTATAACGAACATTTTTAATAAATAATTTAATATAATTTGTAATATCTGAAACAATTTTATGGTACTAGGCAAATTATTGCAATTTATATATATATATACCGTCTTAATTATTAATTCTTTTACCGCAGTGATATATTTTGATACCTTTTTACTATGTAAAACGATCGTGTATACATGTATAACTATGTATTTACGTTTGTTATCCATCAAGTCAAAATGGTTGGTAATGTCATCGTTCTTCAATTACCTTCAGCCTCACTTGGTACAGTCACGAAAATTTGCCTTTAGTCGATAACTCGTCGGTGTCGGCGATCATTATTAGGCGCGAGCTTACTAATCAGTCGCACTCGTCACCTGATAGATGTCGCAAATTGTATTTTTCTTGCAATGGCACCACGTTGCGTATACCGTCAAAACAATAGGCGCGAAAATTCGAGCTACATATTTGCGGCGATAATCCCTGACATTCGCGTTTTAAAAGTATAAAAATTACTAGCTGATATACTATTGTTGCTAATTTTCTTACACATATTATCGCCTTTGAATATTATATCGACGATGACGACGATCGACGACACGAGCGATCAAAGAGTGGGACAACGAATGCAATCTCATACGCACCCGAAATTCCGCTTTCGTAACTCCGACGATAATATAGCCTGGTGCAGTGCAAATCAGTGAGCGCCCTGGCGTTGCTGCGTGGAGTTGACGCTAGAAAGCGAGTAAACAGCAACTGCGCGTTGAAATACATACGTGGATTATTGGTCGTTTCACCGAGCAACCTCCTCTCAATCTCTCAACAGTAGTCTCAACTCGGCTTCTCTATTTCTCTGCTGAAGAGGAGAGAGGACTGAAAGACGAGACGCCCTGCAGACGCTCTTCAAGATCGTTCCAATCCAAGCAGTTCCGAGCATTCCGATCGCGGCGGCGAGCGCGCACGTGCACTCGTGCATACGTCAGCACACCACAGCACACGTGCTCCGCGGTTCTTCTTTCTCGAGAGAGAAACTTTCTCTCGTTTCTTCGACCGATTGACGACGCATTGACGTGACTGAAAATCGAAAAGTGAGGACGGTAGATTGTGTGGCCGCGATATTTCAGATCGACGAGAGTCTACGAGAGCGCGCGACGGGAAATTATGGCAGATTACGTGTTGGGCGATATTAAGCCAGCGGATGTGCCACTGCCGGACGATGGATTGTCGGCCGCGCAGCTATTTGCCGCAGGTGACGGCCTTACTTACAACGATTTTATCATATTTCCGGGCTACATCGACTTTACCGCGGACGAAGTCGATCTGCTCTCACCGTTAACCAGAAAAATCATGCTAAAGGCACCCCTCGTGTCCTCGCCCATGGACACCGTTACCGAGTCTGACATGGCTATAGCTATGGCCCTGTCTGGCGGGATCGGCATCATACATCACAACTGTACCGTTGAATATCAAGCTAACGAAGTGCACAAGGTTCGTAACATACTTTTCTTTGCGACAATTGAAGGCAATGTTACGCAAGTTATATGTATATAATTTCCATAGCAGCCTACAGAATATATCCTGTGCAAATGGTTCGCGCGCCTTCTTATCATCCACGTCTTTCCATCCTCTGGGGGGATGAAAGCTGGTAAATAAGGGTAAATATTTTCTCTTGTTTACAGGTGAAAAAGTACAAGCATGGTTTCATTAGGGATCCAGTTGTGTTGGCGCCGCATCATACCGTCAACGACGTTTTAAGTGTCAAGGCTGAGCATGGTTTTAGCGGAGTACCTGTCACTGACACGGGTAAAGTTGGCGGTAAACTGCTAGGCATTGTCACCTCTAGGGACATCGACTTCCTCGAACGTTTGCCCAATTATAAACGCAAATCGCTTAGCTCCATAATGACGACTTTGGAGGATCTAATTACCGCGCCAGCTGGTGTAACGTTGCAAGAGGCAAATGTTATTTTAGAAAAGTCGAAGAAGGGGAAGCTTCCCATTGTGAACGAACGAGGCGAGCTCGTGTCGCTGATGGCGAGGACTGACTTGAAGAAGAACCGCAGCTATCCGAACGCCAGCAAGGACGAGAATAAACAGCTGCTGGTAGGAGCCGCGATAGGAACGCGAGAGACGGACAAACACCGACTGGAATTGCTCGTGGCGGCTGGCGTGGACGTAGTGGTATTGGATTCATCGCAGGGCAATTCGATGTATCAGATCGACATGATCAAGTATATCAAGTCGCAGCATCCGAATTTGCAAGTGATTGCCGGCAATGTCGTGACCACGATGCAAGCCAAGAATCTTATAGAGGCGGGAGCTGATGCGTTACGCGTTGGAATGGGCTCTGGATCTATTTGCATAACGCAAGAGGTAATGGCTGTAGGGCGACCGCAAGCGACAGCCGTCTACAAGGTGTCCGAGTACGCCAGAAAATTTGGAATACCCGTCATAGCGGACGGTGGGATCCAGTCTATCGGCCATATTATCAAAGGTCTCAGTTTAGGCGCTAGTACAGTTATGATGGGTTCTCTCTTGGCTGGAACATCTGAAGCCCCAGGCGAGTATTTCTTCAGCGACGGAGTTCGTCTTAAAAAGTACCGAGGGATGGGCTCGTTGGAAGCCATGGACAGAAAGGACGCCAAAGGTTCGGCGATGGATAGATATTTTCATAACGAAATGGACAAACTAAAAGTAGCGCAGGGTGTCAGTGGCTCTATAGTGGATAAAGGTTCGGTGCTTAAATTTCTACCCTATTTGACTTGCGGTATTAAGCACGGTTGTCAAGATATCGGAGCAAGGTCACTTACCATCTTACGATCTATGATGTATAGCGGGGAATTGAAATTTGAAAGAAGAACGCATTCGGCTCAGCAGGAGGGCAATGTACATAGCTTATTCTCCTATGAGAAAAGGCTCTATTAATTGTGAAAAATAATAACTCGTAAAGCACGCGTAATGCGGAAAAGTACCTGCATTTTATCGAATAGCAGTTATTTTACAAAATTAGTTAGATCTGCGAGAAATCGTAAATCTCTCTTTTATTTGTTGCAAATGTGCAAAGTATACCATTAATCGGATTAATTCGAGAATACCTCAGGCTCGTTTACCTCAGAACTGCTCTTCAGACGAATAGGAAAACAACATCAAGTCATTTATTATACCATACTTATGTCTCACAAACTTGTTAATAAATATGTAATGTGCCATATCTTTAAAGCGGCACTTTTATAAATTTAACATACATTTTATACTCCCACAACGAGCGATATATTAAAATCAAATAGATGAAATTATGACTTTTTGTCACCGTGTGATGCATTTACACAGACTGATTTATACATAATGTTTTAATACACAGCTGACAATTTGCAGTTTGTTTTTTCTTTTTTAATTTGACCAAGTATTCGGCAATTACAAGCGTACAACAATGACAATTAAGTCACAAATGATTGAACAAAATGTTTCTATCGTGTACATTTATAAATACGCGGGGGATCACTTGTTGTACATTGTAATATTTTTCGCGTCGCTCGTCCATTTTTCTCCCAATTATTTTCAATTAATTTTCAACTGACAATTTACCAAGCTCTTTTGGTGAATTTGTTTAATGCTGTAAACCTTCCAAAATAGAAATTTAAAACTAGAACGATAAGTTGTTTAGTATAATAAGTTGTTAATCTGATTTAGTATTCTGAAAAATTCTGAAAGAAAATGCTGAAATCTCTTTCCCAACTTGTAGCCGATATATTTTATACAGTATTCTTGTAATAAACTGTATCTATGTATGTGTGTGTATGTATGTGTGATATATATATATATATATATATCTGAAATAAACAGACCGCAGAACTTGATGTAAACAGAATTAATACAGGTGTAATACGCTCCTATATTTCCATCGACTCTGAATAAGTTATTTTTCTAAAATTCTTTTGTATGCTGCTCTCTCATAACTCGCTTTTCCTACATGACACTTTCGCACTTTATGTAAAAGATTTGCTGATGCGGTGTCTACAATAAAAGATTTAAGAAAATTGTCCAATCATAATCGATTAGTCATTCCACGTGAAAAAAAAAATCGGTTGTGATTGACTAATTTTCTTAAATCTCAAGTTAAATCTCATCGTGGATACTGCTTAACACGCGACCGATTCCGACACACGTGGATGCATGATACATATGTATAAAATATGTACATATCCCATCATATGTCATTTTTAACAGTTTTTCTTTTATTGATTTTTTTATCTTGTACTTAATTAATATTGATGTGCAAAATGTAGGTATTGATAAGGAAATTATTTTTTGCAACAACGATTGAAAGGTTAAGTCAGGAGGTTAAGAGTGACACGATGTTTACGATTACAGAGATGGACACATCTTCGCCTGCTTTTGCTTTTCTATCCTATTCATGAAAAATATGTAAAAGGGCAGTGTGAAAAGAGAGAAGGAAAGAACACGAATTCGAATTTGGGACAGCTTTGTTCTATAGTCGTCTATATAGAGAAGAGAGGTTAGATTTTTTTGCAACGCAAACTAACCTCGTTCTAAAACTTGTAGTGATTACAATAGGTTAAAATGTCAAAAGTTGTGGAAAAGTTGACGATAAATTCGCAAGAGTCGAGTGAAGCCGAGAGTATCGAAAAATGCAAGAATTGTGGAAAAGCTTGCGATCCTTACGATAAACCAACATTGCGTTGTAGCGGCGGATGCGACAAAAGGATACACATGGCCTGTTTAAAAAGAGGCACCGTACCAATTTCTTTCGTAGGAGATGTTTTTTTCGAACTTAATTGTGCCTCTTGCAGTCCACTAGGCGAGGAAACGGTTGTACGCGATAGAATGCCATGGCTCAATGTCATTGTCTTGACGCTTTACAATCTGCGTGAAAAGTCGAGCGGCATTAGTAGAAGAGGGTATTTTCATTGGAAGTCGGATATCACTACTTTTGTGGATAGAAATTGGGATTTCTTATTTAAGAAGACTGTGTAAGTACTTTATTCTGTATTGTTGTTACTTACATTGCCTAGATTTCGAACGATTCAGAATTCTAAATTCTCTAAATTTTATAAATATTGCACCTATTTAGGAAAAGGAAGAAAAATTGGATCGGCACCATATCTGGTACATTGTCCCATTACAGTGGCATCTTTTTCAAATCTGGCACCAATGAATTAGGAGAGTCTGGATGGTGGAAGCTATTGGGCAGTGATCCTCCTGAAATTTTGATCGCCAAAAGTAATATAATTTTTATATGCATGTATGTATGTGTGTGTGTGGGTACAGAGAGTGACATAGTCTCTTTGTCTAGATAATAAAATGCTAATGGATAAGAAAAAAACACGTCGGTGACAAAATTACCTTGCAAGCCATTGGACAGTCCTGCGCCCTCAGATTCCAGTCTCTCGATCGGAGAAGATAGCAACTGTAGTGGAGAATTATTTAAACATAAAGGTTCCTCAATGTATTCCCATGCGTACGTTCAACCTACAGAGACACTATCTGATTTTTTATTGGAAGAAGATGAGCCAAATGGTATGTGATAAAAAGCATAGTATGTATATAACACAAATGTTAGATGTATTACATTAAGAGAAAAAAAAAATTACATCTTGTAGATATTGAACTCGAGGATGATTTAATGTTGCGCGACGAGAACGATGTTGCATCTATATCTGATTTAATACGCGACTGTCAATATGAAAGCAACAATTTTCATTTGGCACAGCTAATGGATAACTGCGACTGGTTATGTAATACGAGTACATTCTCGCTAAATTGTAGTGGCGACGAAATTAAAAGAATTAAGGAAGAGGAATATGAGGAAGATGGTAATCATAGTCCCATTTCCACACAAGAACAACCTCCTGTTTCTTTATTTAAGGAAACAAAGCGCCGCCAACGACCTTGGTCTAAATCGTTTGTTACCAGTAATTATTCCTTATCGCAAATTGCATCAATATGTAACTGTGTGTGTGTGTGTGTGTGTGTGTGTGTGTATGCATTTACACTTATATTTATATACATACATATGTATATTTCAGATGAAAAAATACCACGCATGACTCGTCAAGAAGAAGCATATTTATTGCAAAGGATCAGTAAGACTAATCTTGACCAAGCCCCGCCCGCTATTAGGAGATTGTACAGAAAATTAGCAGTGCGAAAAACGAAAAGAGAATATCGGCTTCCTCTGTTGGACGTTGATTGTTCCGAATCTAAATCGGGGGCTTTCGTGACACCATTGAGGAACAACGATCGGGTGTTGGATCGATTTTTTAGTGATGATCTAGGATGTATTTTCGAACAGAGATTGCAGGGTAACAACGAACCTACATCTGTACACAGCCCATACACGAATAGACTTTTGAAGCCATTTATAAGGCGAGATACTTGTTGTCAGCCGTTATGGTTAAGAATCATGGATGAATTATGTATGAAAGTAAACGGAGATGATCCACAATGGAAACCGTCGTCCAGAGCATCCATCGATTATTCTTACATCAGACCGCAACATGTTCCGGCAATCAACAGTCTCTGTTGTCAATTTTTTTGGCCTGGTATAGATTGTAAGTGATATTATGTACTTGATTTACTTGAATGTGACACGTACCTATCTAAAATTCTAGAAATTCTAAAGCGTCAAAGTATTTTATTGGTATTAAAGTTAATATTGTATTTTTTTTTCTTTTTTGTCTATTTTAGTGACCGAATGTTTGCAGTATCCAGACTTTACGTGCGTAGTACTGTATAAAAAATTGGTCGTAGGTTTCGCGATACTAGTACCATACGTTGGCTACAACGAAGCCTACATCTCATTTCTTTTAACACGTCCGGAATGGCGAAAGTCTGGCATCGGCACCTTCATGTTGTACCACTTGATACAAACCTGCATGGGACAAGATGTTACGTTACATGTATCGGCCACGAATCCTGCTTTGATATTATATCAAAAGTTTGGTTTCAAAGTGGAAGAGTTTGTTCAGGATTTTTATGACAAATATATGCCGTCGAATTCGCGAGAATGTAAACATGCTCTGTTTTTACGGTTAAGCAGATAATCTTGATTAATAAATTGTGGTTGAACTCGAGAAATTTGTCCTTATGAAGTACATAAATTATTGTATACGTTGTCGCGAGACGCGAAATCGCGTTGCGGGAAGAAGGAACGTTAGATTTGAAACTGGCGCGGCAAGTCGCGCCGCGCGCACGTCATCGAGGGTTGACGTCATTGAGGGAGCGCTGCGCAGCTGGCGTCGATTCATTCTCGAAAGTTCCGGAAGCTGGTAGATGGAAAGTTTATATATATAGTGGACGGCGAGGTTACGCGACAGTTTAGTACAGTTGGTACGCGCGCACAAGGTGTCAAGAGAGAGAAAGAGAGTATCTGGGTTTCATTGGATTTCTTGACGATTATTCTCTTTGTCAATTCTTGCGAGCGTGCTCTTGTGCTTCGAGTGACTTGTGCGAAACACGTATATACGTACTCCTAGACGCGAATAATCACGAGATAGAGGATAGAGAGTAAGTAGTAGACAAAACTACAAGCACACACACACACACACGCAGAGCTAAAAGCATAAGGGCAAGAGAGCGGAGTTATTCCGTATTTGTTGCTCCGATCCGTAACCTTGCGACCCGTTTGCGAATCGATCGCACGCTTTCCACGTTTACGTTTGTCGGGTAGATTCTTTTCCTTTCCATTTCGCACCGAATCCATTTCCCGCGCGTGTAAAATGTGATGGTACGAGACGGCTATGCGAGCTACGACGACAATGGCAACGACACGGGACTTGCAATCTTAAGGGTGGGGTATTATTTTTGCGTTGCAGCTCGAATCGTGCAAGAACGAGCGAAACATTCGTCGCGTATTCGCGGTCATCATTGCCAGAAATAGATATCGGTGATGTGTACGTGGGTGTGTTGGAGCGCTGTGTGTGTTCTCAATGGTCCCCAATGATTCTCCATCGCTCGAGATTCGATACGAAAAAAATGGCAGGAAATTCTCGCGGCAACGCGGAGACGGATAAGTCGAATCGCGTTGCGTTCCCGTGCTCGTGTCAAAGCGACGCTTCTGGCGACGCTTACCAAATATATGATGAATGCACGTTTGCGTGAAAACAAACGCGAGCCAATGTGCGAGTTGTAATTCGTATATGTAACTCGGAGAAAACATGTCCTTCCATCTCTTACCATCATTTCCTTTCGTTTGACACTGTGTTTTTTCATGCGGATATTATCCTACTGACAAGAGTGTGACACGCGCACGTGACTTGTAAACGGTAAACTCTATATACTTGGTTCTGATTGTGAGCTATGTGTGTGTGTAGGTAATTAATCGGTATTTACTTTAATATTAATACCTGTCAATACACGTGTGTGTGTGTACATACATATATATATCGATATTAAATTAAAAAGTATTAAAGTAAATTAAAAAATGATAGCGCTTTTACTCGAATATATCCTGTACTTTGGAAGAAAACACGCCAAAAAACCGCGTTGATTGTGTGTGTTGTTAGCTTTTCAAAATGTGATCTCAATTCTTATAAAAGAAAATAACAAGTTGCCAAAAATCTATTGAAAGAATATGTAATGATTTACTTAATATTATTTTGAGATAAATCGTATATTAATTACATATTATATATAAAGAGAAAGAAAGTAAATACCAAATACATAAGTAAAATTTACCCAAGTATTAATACAATACGTTTGTGAATGTTGTTTCAGAAAGGTGCGAGGAGATGGGGAAAGGACTACTACAAAATACTTGGCATAGCCAAGGGAGCGAGCGATGAGGAGATAAAAAAGGCTTACAGAAAATTAGCCTTACGATACCATCCCGACAAGAACAGAAGCCCAGGTGCTGAGGAAAAATTCAAGGAGATAGCCGAGGCATACGAGGTGTTGTCGGACGCGAAGAAGAGAGAAGTCTACGATAAATTTGGCGAGGAGGGTCTGAAAGGAGGTGCCTCGGCCGGTGGAGGCGGAGGAGGTGCCACGTACACTTTCCACGGCGATCCTAGGGCAACGTTCGCACAATTCTTCGGCTCGGCCAGCCCTTTCCACAACTTGTTCGAGTTCGCTGGTAACCGCGGAGGTGGATTCGCCTTCCACGACGACGACATGGACATCGACATGGATCCTTTCGGACTCGGCGGCATGGGACCACCGCGGCAAGGCGGCGCCTTTAGATCGCATTCGTTTAACTTTGCGAGCCCGAATACCTGTAAAGGGACTGGCAAGGATCGTGCCCAAGATCCGGCCATCGAGCACGATTTGTACATTAGTCTAGAAGAGATTCTGCGAGGTTGCACGAAGAAGATGAAGATTTGCAGACGGGCCATACAGCCGGACGGTAGCACTAAGAAGGAGGACAAGCCTTCTTACCATCAATGTAAAACCGGGCTGGAAAGCTGGTCCAAAATCACTTTCCAGAAGGAAGGCGATCAATCGCCGCGGAGGGAACCCGCGGACATGTTTTTATCATCAGGGACAAGCCGCATCCGCAATTCAGGAGAGAAGGCAGTGACATTAGATATACGTGCAAATTAAGCTTGAAGCAAGCTTTGTGCGGTACTATTGTCGAAGTTCCTACGCTAACCGGCGAAAAGATACCTTTGAATCTAACGAGAGAGATTGTCAAGCCGAATACGGTCAAGAGGTTCCAAGGACACGGTCTACCCTTCCCCAAAGAACCATCGCGGAAGGGCGATCTTCTCGTATCATTTGACATCAAATTCCCTGAAACTTTAACGCAAAGCGCCAAGGATATATTGTATGACACGTTACCCAATTGAGCTCGTATTACCGATCGAAAAACGCGCAAACGCGTATGACATAAGAATTATTGTCGTAATTTCACATATTTAATCGTTTCAATCAGCAAAAGTATGGATATGTCTCGTGTACGTTCTAGTACATGTAGAGACGCACGCGAAGACGTAGCGACAATGACGACGAAGACGATGACTACGACTACTACGATTAAACGAACAACTATGATAAAATGATCGAGAAGATCGGTTAAATATTATCGCGATTTGTTCTTAGAGGCCAAATCAAATCAAATAAATATGTATTTTCTTCGACGTTCGAAATTTAATTCAATTGAAATTCAGCGACTTGATGTCTATATGTAGCTGCGTGATTGGTCTCTAACGATAGTTTTAGTCAATATCGACTAAAGAGTATAAGACATAAAAGTATAAACACACACACACACAGATATAAATATATTAAATTATAAAATTATTATAGAGAATCTGGTATATATTCGCTAATTTCACATTGTTGTGTCTGGATTACTTGGTTTTCTCCATTGTACACATGTGCGTATGTGCATGTGAATGCGTGGGCGTGTATGTGCGTGTATGTCCTAGGGGTACATACATGTGGTATGTACGGAGGCTGTAGAATAACGCAAGTGCAATATCAGAAATTTTATCCGTTTCACTTAAACGAGGTTCATGTACTCGTGACACGTGACACGCTGTTCAGCGATATAACACGCTTATAGAGTTATCGAAAGCAAAGAAAAGAAAAAGGAAAGAGTGAGAAAGGGTGAGACGAAAATTTCAGATATTGCAACGAATATTGTACATCATTTTTGTCGTACACTCTGTCTTATAATATAAAGAAAAAAATTTTTGTTTACATTAGATATTGCAAGACACAATCTGTCGAATATATATTAGGCTCGATTGTTTCTTCTAATGTCGAGTCCACATCTTGTTATGTAATTGCTCCTAAGTTTAATAACTGATTAATTATTTGTACGCTAAATAATATGAGAAATATTAGGTTGTACGATACACATTTTTATTGCCCTCGATTCTCCGTCCCGCGCTCCTATAGAAATACGAATATAACATCGGGACACTCTTAAAATAGATGGTGAAGTGGATGACGTCATAACGCCTCTTTCTCGTCCTATCTTTCGAAATATCTTCTCGTACAAATCGGGAGAATTCACTTTACGTAGTGGTCTACTTTTCTCCTTGCGTCTTAAATATAACAACCTTGTCTCTCGATTATATATATAATTGTCGATCCTTTTGCTCCGTTTATTCGTTCTTTATTTTTCTTCAATGCCCATGGGATAAGGCATGGACTTGGATAGGAATGGCGGTAATTCGATATAATCCTTGTCGATCCATTCATCTTCACCAAATGGAGAAGCGATGCCGCGCGATACAGAAGTCAACAAAGGTATACCGTCTGGCCCTGATGTCAGATACTTGATGACACTTGACCGATCGACGATTCCAAGTCGATTATGTGCGTTTTGTGGTCCCAATTCCTCGTTCTCATCCTCGCCCTCGTATCGATAGACCTTCGGCAAGCCGCCGCCGAATTTTTGGCCGAATCGAAAGTTTTCCGGCAGACAGTGATGCTGACGACAAAAGTAATCTTGGCCCTCTTCGGCGTGGCACCACGTCCCATCTGGAAAGTATGGATCGAGGCCAAGATCGTTTAATTCCACGCGTGGCGCGTAATAAGCGGCAATGTCCTTTCGTCGACAGAATATAGCGCAAGCCATCCATGGCCTGTCGGCTTCGTGTGCCGCCTGCAATCCCTTCGCCGTACCGTCCAATTTCGGTAATCTTTCCCCGAAAAGGCCACACTTGAACGTAGCGAACTCGTCAATCGTCCTGCGTTTCTTCTTACAAAGTTTCTCATCTTTGCACAAGAGTACATCGTAATACAGCCCTTTGCAATCCCTCGCCGTTGATCTAAGACGATTATTTCGATTCTCGCAGAATCGTCGTCTAACTCGAGCGCCTTTAGATCTCTGCAAACAACCACTACTGCAGGAACCTTCCTTCCATTCGCTCCAGCTACCTTTTTGGCCGCCGGATAACTTCGGCGGTTCGGCAATAGATAGACATTCTCCACCGCGACATTCTCTGCCGGGCGCGCACCGAGTTCCTTGAAAGAAGAAAGAAAAAAAAAACGAATTAGCTTCGCCGTTAAAAAAAAAAACGTTAGCAAACCTGTTAGCGATATGATTTACATACCATCCAACGCCGGCCCTGCGAAATAATATCCACTCCTGTGAGGCGTTTCGCATTGCAAAGACTGACAAGCCTGATACAATGTAACAACGTCCGCGTCCTTGTCGCGTAGAAGTAACTCGCATTGTCTCTTGGCGGTCCATTCCCTCCCAGGTAAATCGCGTATATCGCGAATGATCGTGTGCGAGTGTATCCGAGGTGTTTCGTGGCTCCGGCCGATCCAGGAGACAAGACTTCGTTTGCGACAACGTCTCAGCCACCTCACGGCTACAATCGGACCAAACCGTCTCACCTCGAACGCCTCTACTGGGTGACATTATATAGCCATCCTTTGGACACGCATTGCCGCTCGAATCGTGCGGCATTCCTAAGCTGTCAAACGAACGGATTATTCGTGTTTTATCGTATCGCGCTCAAGTATAACTTAAATTATTATATATAATAATACAACTTACTTGTGGCCAATCTCGTGGGCGGCGATATAAACTGATGTAAAGCCCGCGGATGGGTAAGGCTTTCCAAGTTGATCCGTAACTCCCAATTCTGCTATCACACAGGAATAACGCGGGATGCATAGACCACCGACGGTAGCTAGTCCCATGGTAGCGCCGTTCCTCCTTCCGTTTTCGATCGCGTAAAGATCCAGTCCAGTTACGTAGAGGCCCATGTCCCAGTGACGGGAATGTGCGTCCTCCGGAGGATTGCGAACGTTGGCGTAATTGCAAAACGAATCCAACAAGCTACCTCTCTCGCCACCAAAGTGCGGTAAATCAAGTGGCTGCCTCTGAATAATATCTAAGCGTATCAATGATATGTCGATTGAGGCACCGAGACTCGGATGATGATACAGCGCTTGGATACCATTCACGTACGCTAACAACATGTCACGAATCTTCCCATCGTCTCCATCCAGAAAAGGCGAGAACAAACGATACGCAGCCTCATCGAAGAAGACTGCCAGCTCTAATGTTAATTTTTCTTTCGTATCTCGTATTTCACGTCGCTTCGTCTCAACATCTAAATCAATGGGCGGTCTCGGCGGTGATCGCTTAACCACGTGAGGCTCACCCAACGGCAGAACGGCTTCTTCTTCCTTGACATAACGGTCGTCGACGAGTAAAGGTAAAGATGCAAGGCCGTTTCGCAAAGGCGTGATTTCCAATGTAATGTTTTCCAGAAAGATGAGCCCGTGCTACCTCCAACAGATCAGATCAGAGTTATATTATTCTTCTATTTTATTTATATTCTACACGCATGTCCATACATGAAGGAAAAAAGAGAGAAAAAGAAATGTCATTCTTTTCCTCCAAAGAATACCACCGACCAATCCATGTTCTTGGCAAAAACTTATAGCTGCGGAACCGACATGACTCTTGTGAAGATAATAGCAAGGATCCGGTGCGTTTAACTGCGACAATTCTTCTGCGATGCCCTTGGCATTGTGTTTCCAGACTTGAAACTGAGATGATGTAATATTGTCGTTTCTACGTAGATTCAACTGAATCAAGTGCCCAAAGACTTTGAAAGTTAAAGGAATCTGCAAATCGAATAATAACTATTAAATCGAGAATAATTTTTTTTTTTAGTATTATACTATATTTTAAAGAATAAATTAAACTTTACGATAACGTACCTCCGGTGCACCACCTTTTGAGTTCCATACTGGCAACAATATTACCTCGGTATCTGGTGTATTATGCGCGTATACCTCGTTTAGTAAAATTATCAATATTAACCTTGATACAGAGGACATGCTCTTCACCGTGTGTTTCAAGTTCAAGTACTTGGAAGAACATAATTATTATGTGTCTCTATATATATATATATATATATATATATATATATT